GCACAGGGACCGCGGTTCAATCCCCCAGCACCACATGCCAGCCAGCCCCACCCCCTGGTGGGCTGAGCTGGCCACACACACTAAATAAATAAATAAATAAATTTAAAAAAAAAAGTGCAGAGAGGGGTCCAGGAAGATGGCTCAGTGGGATAAGTGCTTCCCTGGCAAGTACAGGGCCCTGAGTTCAATCCCCCATTCTGGAAAAAAAATAAAATAAAATAAAAAAAATATAAAAAAAAGTACAGAGAAGTTTCTTTCTCTGTTTTTGTACTTTTTTTTTCATTTATGTATTTGGTACAGGGTCTCACTACACAGATTGGACTCCTGGTGATCCTCCTGTTTTCAACCTCCCCAGTGTTGGGATTACAGGTGTGCGCCACCATGTCCAGACTCGGTCACTGGCTCAGTGCATCCAGGGGGTGGGGGCAGGGCTGGTGTGGCATGCTGGACCAGGGATCAAACACTGGTCCCTTTGGTTGCCAAAGCAGGCACCTAGTCCACTGAGCTATCTCACTGGTTTTGTACTCTTTTTATTCTTATTCACTAGTTTACTGGGGCTGGAGAATTTTCCTTTTTCCTTTTCTTCCTTTCTCTTCTTCTCTCTCTCTCTCTGTCTCTGTCTCTGTCTCTCTCTCTCTCTCTCTCTCTCTCTCTCTCTCTCTCTTTCTCTTTCTTTCAAACATATTTGGGAGCCAGGAGATGGCCCAGTGGAAAAAGCACTTCCCTGGTAAGCGCAAGGACCTGAGTTCAATCCCCGATTCTGCCAGAAAAAAAAAAATTGGTACAGGGTCTCAATACACAGCTCAGACTTATAGTGATCCTCCTGTTTTCAGCCTCCCCAGCACTGGGTGTGGTATGCACCACCAAATGCAGTCTCAGTGGCCACTCAGTGTGCTGGGGGCAGGGCCAGTGCAGCATGTGCTGCCGGGGATTGAACCCCTGTCCTAGTACTTGCCTAAGCAGGCTACCATGCAAGTCCTCTTTTATCTTTCAAATGATATTTTTTTCTTTCATCATTTTTTGCTGGGCATGGTGGCACATGCACTCAAGAGGCTGAGACTGGAGGGTCTTTGTGAGTTTGAGACCTGTGTGGCCTACAAGGCCTGCCTGAGCTGCATAGTGACACCCTGCTTCAAAAAACAAAAACAAACAAAAAACAAAACCTTTTTTTTTTTTGGCAGTACTGGGGATTGAATTCAGGACCTTGCATTTGCCAGGCAAACGTTTATTCTACTGAGCTGTCTCCCCAGCCCCACTCATTTTTTGTTTTGTTCTTTTTATTTTTGTTTT